GTGTGAGAATCGGAGCTGATTGTATCAGGTTTTTGAGTTGTTCGAAACTGTCGTGAGCTTCCTTGGACCACTCAAAGTGCGGTTTCTTGAGAATTTCGGTGAGGGGAGCTGCAGTGGAGCTGAAGTTCTTAATGAACCGATGGTAAAAAGATGCCAACCTGTGGAATCGTCGGATGTCATTTATAGAGTTTGGTGTTGGCCATTAAATGGATTTAACCTTGTCATAATCCATTTTTGAGTCCTGCTGGTGAGATGACAAAGCCCAAGAACTTGATGGTGTTCACTAGGAATTCACATTATAGCGAACATGCGTTGCTCTAACAGTATTTGAAAAACTTTTTTCAGAAGTTGTAAACGTTCCTCCTTGTTATGGCTGTAAATCAAAATGTCATCAAAATAAATAACAAGAAATTTATTTAAGAAGGAACGAAAAACCTGATTCCTAAGATGCATGAAGGTACTAGGTGCGTTGGATAATCCGAATGGCATTACAATCCACTAATATAGTCCATCTCTTGTCTTGAATGTTGTTTTCCATTCGTCGCCCGGTCTCATTCTGATTTGATGGTAGCCGCTTCTAAGATCTAATTTAGAAAAGACACAAGCACCACTTAGTTTATCAAATAAATCGTCTACACGGTGAATAGGAAACCTGTACTTGATGGTGATTTTCTTAATGGCCCGGCAATCGATACACCTACGCCATGTGCCATCTTTCTTGGGAACTAGCAGAGCTGGTACGACGCAGGGACTGGCACTAGGTCTCACAAAGCTTGCATTTATCAGTTCTTCTACTTGCCTTTGTAACTCCTCATATTTTTGCGGAGACATTCGGTAAGCAGGCCTATTAGGAATAACGAATCCTGATAAAAAATCGATGGCATGTTGAATCTCTCGAATGGGCGGCAAACCCTTCGGAAGCTTGTCAGGAAAAATTTGAATGAACTCTTGCATAAGAGGATGTATTTTCGGTGGATGCTGTTTTTGGATATCATTTTCGGTCATTAGAAGTAACATAAATCCAATTTGTGCCTTGTTAATGGACTGAACGAACAAGGTGGCGGATTCGGTTTCAGGTGGAGGCGGATGAAGTCGTTTATCAGCTTGTCCCTATAGTTCTTTGGCTTGGGTATCATTGAATGGTGCTAATACCAAGGTTCGACCATTATGTTGAAAGGAATAAGTATTATGAAACCCATTATGGATCGTTCTTCGGTCAAATTGACATGGCCTGCCCAACCACATGTGACATGCATCCATGGGTACTACATCACAAAGAACTTGTTCTTGAAAATCCTTGCCCATAGAGAATTGAATCGGGCATAGTCGGTTGAGTTCAATTTCGTTGCCCTTCTTTAGCCAGACTAGTTTATATGGCTGGGGATGTAATTGTGTTGCCAGGTGTAGTTTCTCTATCATTAAAGAAGATACCACATTTTCGCAACTTCCATTGTCGATGATTAGATTACAGACTTTGCCTTGGACGGTGCATCTTGTCATGAAAATATTATGCCGCAACCACTTGTGTTCAGGTTCATAATGAATATTCAAAAGGCGCCTGACTACGAGCTGTTCTCCGTCATCTGCATGTATGATTTGTTCAATCTCCTGCGAATTGTTTGCATCTTCTTCACATGGATCTTCATCAGGGGAAATTTCTTCTACTTATGCGACCAATCACCTTGTGGGGAAATTAGCTGCGATGTGGCCGAACCCATGACATTTAAAACATTTTCTAGCGGAAAACAAACTGGCGGTGGGATTATTCGTGGTCAAATGTGGATGGACTGAACCCATGGCCACGTTTGGTGGGGTGTTTCTTCGATCTGGTCTGGGACCATTTAAGCTACTGGTTCCTGACAGTTGGTCTCCAATGGGGTTTCTTCGTTTTCCTTGCTTCAATTATTTTTCCACCTTTAAAGAGAGGTTAATTACATCGGCCAGGTCCAGTGAGGCTGGAGTTGGACAATGTTTGATATAGATGAGTTCAATCCTCCCAAGAATCTCGCGATCGTGTTTTCTTCCGGTTCTTCCAATTGGCACTTGAGACCCAATTGTTCAAATTCTGCAGCGTACCCTTCTACTGTTAGCTCGTGCTGTTGTTGATTATGTAGCTGTAGGAACATATCTTGGCGGTATTGCATAGGCACGAACTTCTTTTGAAGTTCTTTGGTCACCTTTGCCCATGTCGTGATCTTCGACTTGCCTTCTCTTTGGCGGGATCATTTTAGATTCTCCCACCATAACGATGCATTTCCTTTAAGCTTGATGGCTATGAGCTTGACAATGCGTTCTTGCGGAATTTCTTTGTAATCAAGTATTCGTTCAACGATATGTAACCAATTGATGAATTCGTTTGGATCCAATCTTCCTTCAAATTCGGGAAGATCAAGGCGTATGCCAAAGTCTTGAACATGTCTTCGTGGTTCGTGGCGGAGGTACCTTAAAGGAATGTCATCTTCTCCGCTTGATCCTTCATGATGAAAAGGATTTTCATCGGCCTCTTCTGGTTGCGGTTCTTCGACTTCATTTTGTGTCTCTCCTTGTTGACTGACTTCGACAGCGGCCAAACGATCTTGTAATCTTTGGATCTCCCTTCTTAGTTCTTCAATGGTTTGTTCTTGGTTTCTTGGGGCTCCTCTCCTTGGCGGTATGTTCGTGGGTGATGAACGCCAAAATCCACCGGAGGAAGAACAATGTCCGTCCGCCCCTAACCTTTGCAGCAAGAAAGCAAGAGTTTTCGATGTAAAGATCTCTTTACCTGGTTAGCTCTGATTCCAGATGACACCGTGCGGAATCCTCAAACAGCGAGGTGAAGGCATTAACAAGAAAAACGAGAGAAAGAAAAGCCATGGGGAAAGAAAAGAAGAACTTTATTGAGCGGCAAGAACACCACCTGGCTGCCAACCCAGGTTACAGGCACTCATGGACTGAATGCGGGAAAGAAAACATAATGCAAAACTCTGTTCGTCCTGAAGGGCTTACAGCTATATATATAGACTTCTAATAAGGTTTAATACACCCTTGGACTCAAAACAAAGCCGGACCGGACGCTGCTAGTCCGGTCTGGATGGGCTTTGCTTTAATAACCCATTTGAATTGGGTGGAGGTTCAGCTCTTGCGTCACATACTCCCCAAGAAGTGAGTCCTCTATTTGATCTTGTGGCGGCTATCCCAGAGAGGATTAAAACAAAAAAAGAAATATGAAGTTCCATTATTTTTTTTGTTCCTTCATCCAGTGCTGCCCTGTGGGAGTTCTCATCTGCGTTTTCACCTTCAATAGTTGGTCCTAAAAGCTTATGTCATGCTTTTCGGATTCACAGCTGAACTTGAAGGTTCAAAAGCATACTTGTTATTTGTTTACCTTTTCTTATGCATTCATATTGCAAGTCGCTATTTCTACCATCTCTTTTATCTTGTTGCCCTAAAATTTTTAATCTCTCACTTATTGTTTACATTTAACCATTGATGTTTATAAAACAATTCTTAGCTCCTATCACATCTTTTTTTTTAGATTTTTTTTGTTATTCTTTTTGTTGTTGTTGTTGAATGCTATTGTGGAGAACTCTTTGTTTTGGATGTCAATGTATGTTGCTTGCTGGAATGATCTTGGTGTTTCTGTTGATGCTTCTCTATTGATTGATGTATTATTATTATTTTGCTTAATCAAGTTTGCAGAAGAGATCTTATTCATTTTTTGGTTCTTTCAGATCTAAATTTTCTTAAATGTGCATTTGCAACATTTCTTTGCATCAATCTTGGGGTTCTGAACATTACTGTTGCATCAAATGGCCTGTTTTTTCATGTTATTTTATTTTATTTTTGTTTTTACTGCAACATAAATAAATTGTTGATTAATGAATTTGGTGTCATGCCAGGAATTTAAGTTATCATGAGAGAGACTCTTAATTAACAAACATGTTCTCTGCTACCATAGTTAATAGACTTTGATAGTTTGATTTAATGAACATGCTCCCTACTATCCTATTTTGTTAGTGATATTACAATACACAAAAATCTCTATAGTTATATATATATATATATATATATATAATAGATTTTCTTGCTTTATTGTTAGGTCAAAATTTTTCCCTTGTGTTTGACATCCTTTTTGCACGCTTACACCCTATGTTGCACCGATACGGATACGGCGACACGGATACGACATGATACGGATACCTTGGTACCATTCGGTACCCCTCTATACCGAGCAATACCGAGCGGTACCGAGCAATACCGAGCGGTACCGAGCAATACCGAGCGGTACCGAGCAATACCGAGCGGTACCGAGCAATACCGAGTGGTACCATTCGGTACCCCTCTATACCGAGCAATACCGAGCGGTACCGAGCAATACCGAGCGGTACCGAGCAGTACCGAGTTCCAGTACCGTACTGAGTAGTACCGAGCAATACCGAGTTACAGTACCGAGCGGTATCGAGTTCCAATACCGAGTGGTATTGAGTTTCAATACCGAGCAGTACTGAGTTCCAGTACCGCTCGGTATCAAGCAGTACCGAGCAATACTGAGTTCCAGTACCGTTCGGTACCAAGCGGTACCGAGTACCGAGTTTCGATGCCAAGCCTATGATTAAGAAAACGAAGAACGAAGAAAACGAACCTTCACTGCTCACGTCGCCTTCACTGTTCGCGTTGTCGAGCCGCTCCGTCGACAAAGGATGATCCTATCGACTTTAATGCTCGCGTCGTCAACCCTCTTTGTCGATAAAGGATGATATTGTTTGCTTCTATGCTCGCGTCATCGAGCCGCTCCTTCAACTATAACGAAGAAGATGAGCACTTGTGTGGAAACGAAAAACCTAGCTCTTTGAAATGTTTCAGCCGCATAAATGAATATGGATATTGAGAGGAAACGCCGAAAAGCCGAAATGAATAGGATAAATTGCGGCTTCACTTTTTTTTTTTTTCGTTTTTTTAATAGGACACGTGTGTCGGATACTCGTGTCCAGTTAAATTTAAATAATATTTTAATTGGACACGGCAAAGTCGTATCCGACACGTATCCGTGCCGTATTGGAGGCGTATCCGTATCCGACACGTGTCCGATACAACATGCCTAGTAAATAGGAGTATCCGTGCAACATAGCTTACACCTTTAGGTCTGTTTGATTTGAAGCAAATGGAAGAAAGAAAATGAAAATGATAAAAGGAATTGGAGTTGGTTTTATCCCCCTTTTTGGTTGAGGAGAACTTGAATGAAGAAAGTTTTTACGTTGTTTTTTGAGAAGAAATTTTGATTTTGTTTCATAAGAGGAGATATGCGACTCTCATTGATGGTTTGATAATATTTTCTACTAGAGTTAAAAAAAGGAATTATCAATGGAAAAAAAAAACATTGATTGCATTTCCTATAGTTCCAATTACCTTAAGATTTACATTGGAACCAAACAACTAACATGAAGTTTTGTAGTAAAGTGAATTTACATTACCTCAAATTCCTTCAAACCAAACACAACGTTAGACTTTATTATTTCTCGAAGGTTGAATTCCTTGCAAATAATATTATGCATGTATTACCTGCCGAATTTCAAGCGTCTTCAAAGACCTATTCTTCTTTTTTATTTTGGTAGCAAGGCAATTGTGTTTTGAATTGGCTAGATTACAAATAACCCTTACTATACTAATAATTTTAAATTTTTTTGGTTGGGCAATTGCCCCCCTCACCACTACACAGTTCCGCCTCTATTTGAATCCTTTGCCTTAAATATTACATTTTTTTAACTGCTATATGCTGGAACTGTTATGTACAGAATTTTATTTGATGGCTCCAATGGCTGATTATAGAAATGGTAGCACAAAACCTCCAGCATCTGGATCTGCTGGTGCCTACACAATTGATGTTGGTAACTTCAGCATTCGGATGAAAGTGTTTTATACTCACTGGCGGGAACATAAGCCTGATCTTTGGGGTGCTTCAGACTCTATTGCAATTGCAACACCCCCTCCTTCTGATGATATTCGATATCTAAAATCCTCAGCATTGCATATCTGGTTGTTTGGATATGAATTTCCAGAAACAATTATGGTTTTCATGAACAAGAAGATCCATTTCTTATGCAGTCCGAAGAAGGCTGCTGTCCTGGAATCTGTGAAAAGATCTGCTAAAGATGCTGTTGATGCTGATGTCATAATTCATGTCAAGCAAAAAAGTGACGATGTATCTGTTTTGATCGATGGCTTATTAAATGCTATTCATTCTGAATCAGAAAAACCTATTATTGGTAGAATTCAACGAGAAGAAGCTGAAGGGAAGCTCGTGGAAAGCTGGCTGGAGAAGTTGGCTAGCTCTAACGTACAGCTTTCTGACATCACGGCTGGGTTTTCTGAATTGTTTGCTATCAAGGATGCTTCTGAGCTTAACTGTGTGAGAAAAGCAGCATATCTAACTTCAACCGTGATGAAAAATTTTGTGGTTCCGAAGCTTGAGCAGACTATAGATGAGGAGAAGAAAGTCTCGCATTCAGTTCTTATGGAAGAGACGGAGAAGGCAATTCATGACCCTGTTAAATTGAAGGTCAAGCTGAAGTCTGAAAATGTTGATATATGCTACCCGCCAATTCTTCAGAGTGGGGGAAAGTTTGATCTGAGGCCAAGCGCATCATGCAATGATGATAATCTCTACTACGAATCGGCTAGTGTGATTTTATGTGCATTAGGGGCACGCTATGGCAGCTATTGCTCAAATATTGCAAGGACTTTTCTTATTGATGCTAATCCTAAACAGAGCAAAGCATATGAGGTTCTTCTCAAGGCCCATAATGCTGCCATCAATGCATTGAAGCCTGGGAACAGGCTCAGTTCTTCTTACAAAGCTGCTGTCACAGTTGTTGAGAATGAGGCCCCTGAGCTTCTTCCAAATCTGTCCAAGACGGCAGGGACTGGGATTGGTCTTGAATTCCGTGAATCCGGATTGACCTTGAATGCAAGAAATGATCACATGGTGAACCCGGGAATGGTTTTTAATGTCTCTCTTGGATTTCAGAACCTGCAATCCCAGACAAACAACCCAAAAACTGAAACATTCTCTCTGCTTTTGGCTGATACAATTATTGTTGTGAGTGAGAAGCCTCCTGAAGTCTTGACTTCAATTTGTTCCAAGGCTGTTAAAGATATTGCTTATTCTTTCAATGAAGATGATGAGGAGCAACCCAAAATGGAATCTGAGACCAGTATCGCCGAGTCCGTCTTATCCAAGGCATCCTTGAGGTCAGATAAGCATGATATATCGAAGGAAGAGTTGCGGAGGCAGCACCAAGCAGAACTTGCCAGGCAGAAGAATGAGGAAACAGCTAGGAGGCTGGCCGGTGGCGGTTCTGTTGCTGGGAATGCTCGTGGACCCATGAAAACATCAAGTGAGTTGACGACCTACAAAAACGTCAGTGATCTGCCATATGCCAAGGAATTTATGATCCAGGTGGATCAGAAGAATGAGGCTGTCCTTATCCCAATTTTTGATTCTATTGTGCCTTTTCATGTGTCAACTATCAAGAGTGTTACCAGCAATCAAGATAACCGAACATCCACTGTTCGCATAATATTCAATGTTCCGGGGACCCCATTTGCTCCTCATGATGCCAACACCCTCAAGCACCAAGGTGCTATATTTTTGAAAGAGGCAAGTTTCCGTTCGAAGGACATGAGACATAGCAGTGAAGTTGTGCAGTTAATTAAGACCCTGAGGAGGCAAGTAGCATCAAGGGAGTCGGAGAGAGCTGAGAGGGCTACTCTAGTTACTCAGGAGAAACTTCAACTTGCTGGTAACAGGATGAAACCAATAAGATTGCTGGATCTGTCGATACGGCCTGCATTCCCCGGCCGCGGTAGAAAGCTCACTGGAGCTTTGGAAGCTCATATTAATGGTTTCCGTTATTCTACTTCTAAAATTGATGAACGAGTGGATATCATGTATGGAAATATAAAGCACGCCTTTTTTCAGCCTGCAGAGAGAGAGATGATAACGCTCCTGCATTTCCGCTTGCATAATCACATCATGGTGGGCAACAAGAAGACCTTAGATATTCAGTTTTATGTGGAGGTGATGGATGTGGTTCAGACACTTGGTGGTGGAAGAAGATCAGCCCTTGATCCTGATGAGATTGAGGAAGAGCAGCGGGAGAGGGATCGGAAAAACAAAATAAACCTGGAATTCCAGAACTTCGTTAATAAGGTGCATGATCACTGGGGGCAACAACAATTCAGAGATCTAGATCTTGAGTTTGATCAGCCACTCAGAGAGCTTGGATTCCATGGAGTTCCTCATAAAGCTTCATCCTTCATTGTTCCGTCTTCAAGCTGTTTGGTTGAACTGATTGAGACGCCACCTCTAGTAATTACCTTGAGTGAAATTGAAATTGTTAATTTGGAGAGGGTGGGCCTTGGGCAGAAGAGCTTCGACATGGCCATTGTGTTCAAGGATTTTAGCAAGGATGTATTCCGCATAGATTCAATTCCTTCATCTTCTCTCGACGGAGTCAAGGAATGGCTAGATACTACTGATATCAAGTACTATGAGAGCAGGCTGAACTTGAACTGGCGACCTATTCTGAAAACCATTACCGATGATCCTGAAAAGTTCATTGAAGATGGTGGGTGGGAGTTTCTCAATTTGGAAGCCAGTGATTCAGATTCAGACGCATCCCAGGAATCAGATCACGGGTACGCGCCCTCCGATGTGGATGTGGAATCTGAATCTGATGATGAAGCTAGTGATAGTGAATCCCTCGTGGAGTCAGAGGATGATGAAGAGGATGATTCAGAGGAGGATTCTGAAGAGGACAAGGGGAAGACATGGGAGGAACTGGAGAAGGAGGCGAGCAGAGCTGATAGGGAGCAAGGTGGCGAGTCGGACAGCGAAGAGGAGAGAAAATGGAGGAAGGCAAAAGCTCTAGGAAAATCACGCATTCCCGATAGAAGAGTTTCGAAAGGTGCTCCTCCCAAGAGGGCAAAGCTTCGGTAACGTGGTTAGTGAATACTTATTTTGAATGTCTTTAGCTGTTCAGGTGATCTTATATTATACAGTTATCATTCAGTTTTCATTCCTCCAAGATAGTTTGTGCTTTTGCAGCTTTATCCATCTCTATTGTTTCTGGCCGAATTTTGTAATTTGCGTCAATCTTCCCACAACTTTGTTGTATCATCTTCATCAGAACTTCGGAACGGATTTTGTTATAGTTACCGTTATACTTACTACCAATTTGTTAAGACTCGTTTTGTTGTGCATCCTTTATACTTAATGTACTCATTCATGTTTTGCGGAAAAATTATTAGGTGCGGAGTGTGCACCGTCCGCACAAGTACTAGGTACCTACAGTGCTACCTAGCTACGTACCCAGTGCTTGTGCGGACGGTTCTCCCCGTCCGCACTCTGTACCTAATAATCTGTGTTTTGCGGAAAAAATATTAGGTGTTTGCTGTTATTTGAATATTTAATATTTATCATTTTCTTACCATTGGGATTTCCTTTGGACAGTTATTTTATTGTTTTTTAAAAACAATTTTTTAGTATAAAAAATTTATATATATAGACACGCATTTACTGCTCTCTTTCACGTCTCCTTAGATATAAAATAGGGCCACAATAAATATGGTTTCCAATGTCGCTGTGAAGAATCAGCTATATTGGATGAAAGGGTCGAATGCATATTTGATTGACTTTTCAAATAAGTTTCAATTATTTAATAAGTTTTCAAAATAATGTCTTTTAAGCACTATATTTAAATCTATTCAAACACTTACCAAATATATATTCGACCATCTAATTGATCGATGTTTAATGATTTTTGATGAAAGGGTCGAACGTAGGTTTGTTTGATTAAGTGTTCAATTGATTTCAACCATTTTATAAGTTTTAAGAATAATGTATCAATTCTAATCGAACTTTATTTGACATTTATTCAAGTCAATATTGGTCTGTTGTCAGTAGTGAGAGTATTTTTGTTTGAAGAAAATTTTCGAGTATATTTTCTAATAAAATAAAACACAAATTATATTTATTCAATTTCAAATATTATGAGTTATATAAACTCAAAATTATATATATATATATATATATATATAAGAAATATGCTTAAAAAAAAAAAAGGAGACCTATAGCCTCGCCGATTGCGCAAGGAGATTTCGAGAAGCTGGTTGAACGGGACCGTCGGTTTACTCGAACCTTGGCGAACCGAACGTGCCCTGTAGCCCAATCACGTCCTATCACCGGCGGCGATGTTGATGGTGGCGGGGCTACGGATTGGAGCCTCGTCTTCGCCTACGCAGCCGCAGCAGTTTATGTTGGAAAGAAAGCGACAACGTGAGAGGGAATCGTCGTTGTAAGCTTTACTCTTCATCCCTGTGGATTGGTGAGAAGGGAGCTGCCCCTTTAATTCTTTCCTCTTCTTCCTAGCTCTGTCTTACTCTCTCTTCCATCGGCGCCTTCGAGGAGTTTATTTTCCGTCACTTTCACCACTGGTGAAGTATAGTGCAGCGACTAGCCAGATTTGAGTGTAAATCCTCTCTTATTTGCTTCGCCATAATGCCAGTTTTTCTGATTTTAAAAAGTTCATTTTCTTTTATCGTTTAGGGTTTAGGGTAGTTTTGTTGCCAAATGGTGGCACTAAATTACGGTCATGGCTAGAGCCCGTATGTTCCCCAATGATTCTAAACCCTAGAGTAATTGTTGTACTTTGTTCCTAGATTTAGCTTTTAGGCTTGTAAAGCCTTGTATGTGGCTTTTGTATAGCATTAGGTGTCTATAAAAAGCCTATAGATTGTATTATGAACGTATGGTTAAGAAATAAAGCTTAACGTTAGGCTGCCTCCCTCTTCCATTCATCTCTCTCTCCTCCTCCTCTCTCAACTTCAAAGAAGAGGAAGTGTTCTTCCTCTCTTGCAAGAAGTTGGATTCAACAGTAATGAATCATAGGGTATAATTAATAAGTCACAAAGTCTTTTGTTAGCTAAAGTCTACTCAAATCTGCCCCCTTAGTCAAACATTCACCCCATGTCTATAAGGTACTCTTGGACGATGCAACATATGGCTGGCGACAAGGATCCTTTGGTTAGGGTGGTTTGACTACCTCCTTTAGCTAAGTAGATTCGAGACCATGTCAACCTAGGATGATTGAACCATTGGATCTTGATTGGGCCATTATCATTCCCCCATCACCTGCTTAAGTATATGATAAAATTCAAATATTAGAAATCCTAAAAATCACTTTTTCAAATCCTAAAGTGTTTTATCTAAAAATCCAATTTGTCTTCTGCAAATTTATCATAGAACCTAATTTGTTAAAACTCTCCCAGTTAAAAGAAAAAAAAGGAGCGTATAGAGGCCAAGGCACGAATTTTTGGGAATACAGGAATGTCCGTAAACAATAGGAGTGGTAATGTGAACATATATATGGTTAGAAAATATACAAATATGGGTATAATAACTTATTTATGTAAATATTGCTTTTATATAAGTTTGAGTCCTTTATACTGATTCAAACATGCAATCAACAAATGAACATTAAAATAAAAAACGTTATCAAAATTTATATAAAAAATTTATTGTCGTACGAACAAAGAGTTATTGTAGAGTTTCACAGATCATTTGGCTATATTTAAAACATATTTATTTATTTTGAATTTTATGAAATATATGCCAAGTACTTAAGGGCTTTGGTTTAAGTACTATAATCTCTATTTTTTAGGGCATATGTATTTGATTTGAGACCTAATTGTTACGACATGAAGAATTTCTCCTACTCCATGTGTGGATATGGATTGAACTCTACATCTTTCCTTGTGCCAAAAAAATTTAAATAGATTTGTGCCCACCATATTACTAATAATAACATTTAGGATATATTTCTATCCTTAAAAAAAAGATATGCCAACTATTGTATTCAATTCAAAGTATAAATGTTCTCTATGAGAGTTTTATGCACAAAATTTTGCATCCTGCATGATATTGTTGGCCAACTCAATCATCTTTATCGTAAAAAGCATAATTTAACACCCTTTTAGATGCATCTCATGCTTCTTTGTCTATTTATATGCCAACATGTTACGCCTCAGAATCAACTTTGAAAGAAATATCTATTTATCATTTTAAGAATATACCAGAGCTCCTATATATCATCAATATAAATAATAGCCAATGAAGATAACTAAAATCATGTACATTAAGACAATTTTCTATTTATTTACCAAAATGTCATTTACACTAGCTAGTAGATCAGTGCAATTACTAATCTATCACGAGCTCCTAGCTACAAAAGAATAAAAGAAAATACATAATAAAATCTAAAAATCTGAAGATCTTTTTCAATATCATTGCTCATTTTCCTGACCTGAAATCATTAAAATCCACTTCATGAGCTAAAAAGCTAAGTAGGAAGCCAAAACTCTATTGCTGCTTTCAATGCAAGGTAAAAGAATCAATATGTATGTTCAGTTCTAATCAATATTAATCATAACTAAAATGAACAATAAAAATATCAAAATTAATAATAAAAACAATATAATAAATAAAATCAAAAGAAATCTATCAAATTATAAGACATGTGATCAAATTAATAATAAAAGCAATATAATCAATAAAATTAAAAGAAATCTATCAAATTAATAATAAAAGCAATATAATCAATAAAATCAAAAGAAATCTATCAAATTATAAGACATACGATAAAAAGTACTATCATCCAATGAATAATGTTAGTATGCTATGCTATAGTATATCAATATGATTTCATTTATATCTATCAATCAATTTAATGCCCTATCCTGTAAATACAATTATGAATGCAACATCTTTTTTCATCGCAATTATTGCACGGTTGGATATTAATCTTAATCAGGCCTAGCTGTCAATTAAGTGGTATCAGTCAACCCCAATTGTTGCCAGTTGAGTATCAGTCTAAATTAGGCATAACTGTCAACCAACTGGTATTGGTCTACCCCAATTACCGCGCAGTTGGGTATTAGTCTTAATGAGGCCAAACTGTCGACCAATTGGTATCAGTCTTCATCTTTTATGTTAACAACTAGCCTTCCATCTTGCCTCCCTTACATGCAAATGCTATAATTTTGTCAATGTCATGTATACAACAACAGTATCAAGCCTTTATCCCACTACGTGGGGTCGGCTACATGAATCTTTTTTTTCCGTTGTGTCTTATTAAAAGTCAAATTCTCGTTTAAATCTTATAAAGAAAGATCGTTTCTAATATTTTCTAACCAAGTCTTCTTAGGTCTGCCTCTACCTTTCTTAATATAAGTCAAATCTAATACCTCTACTTTCCTAACCGGGTTATCAGAAGGCCGCCGTTTTATGTGACCAAGCCATCTAAGGCGACTCTCTCTAATCTTATCTTCTACTGGAGCTACTATTTAATTCAATTTTTAGTATAAATTTATATAAATTCTTTTGGGACTTTAAAAAATATAGAAAAATATCCATAAAATAAATCATTTTATTTGAAAAATATTGGTGAAATTGGTTTGCAAAACGGACATCTGACGACTCAAAATTCCTACTTTTACCGACAAATGTCAATTTCTTAAGGATTTGTACTAGTTCCCAAAAATTACTATAATTAAAACACTATAATATCTATCTTATGGCGAAGGCGGTTTTCAATTTTAATTTAAAATGAATCCTAAAAAAATTATTTATTTGGGTTGAGTTACGGGCTATTACACAATGCATCTTGAGAAGCTTGTGAAGTTGATAATATTTCAATCCTCTTTGGATGTATTATGGAGTTGAGAATTTTGTTTAATATTTTGTTAATCATCTATTTTATGAATGCTTTGTGGCCGGTAGTTCCTTGGAAATGCTATATGTTGTGTTAAATATCATATATTTTATTTGTATTATGTTATTTTTTTTGTAATTTGAATCAGCCAAACTGCAAACTTTTTATCATGGAAAGGAGCTTATTGCTATATGGTTCTATCCCCGTTATCAGTCCTTTTCTCTTAAATTTATTTGCTGTACTTACTCTTTTTCTTATATATAGATGCTAAGTGGACTTTATGTTATATTTTGTTGCTAAGTATATCTTGATGGAGTAGCTAGTTTTACGTTATTGTAGGGTGTTGTATGAATAGTTTTTGCATTTTTTGGTCTTTGAAGCTTGTCAAATGGAGGAGCAATTCTTACTTCGCGTTCCACCATCAATAGCTGAGCGCATAGAGCGCTTGTTGAATGAAAATCCATCCACTTCTGAAGATGGTTGCTTGGATCTATCCTTCACAGGTATCTGGTTATTTGAGATATTTCGGAATCGAATGTGTTTTCATTATTTATAGTTAAAAATTATTAATTTTTGATGTTGATAAGAATGTAGTCTCCTGTCCTTTCACATTTATGGACTTACGTAGATCTTCAACCAACTCAGTTTAAGAATTCCACTTTCTGCTCACAAATCCAGAGTTTTAGTTCGCAGGCTAGTCAGATTGAACCATGCTAGAGAAACAATTGATGAACTTTTTCCCAATTAGTTTCATGCACTCCCAATTTGTAGTTGAGTAGATACCAGACAAAGTAAAATGTTAAATTGATATTTTTTAAAACGTAGGAAGGATTTATCTTTATTTCAAGCGTTTGAATTCATATTTATAGTTCTCTATGATACCCATTAGGAGATGCATATTTTGGTTGAGGATAGTAAATCTCCAGAATCAATAGGACCTCTTTAGCTGTGAAGAGTTGTTAGAGTGACTGAGCATTCAGTTTACGTTTCTCATTTCTTTGTGATGATGGTTACCGTCTCTTTTCCTCTCCCTCTCCTTCACTCTCCTCTCTCCAAACTCCCCTATTTTTTTTTCTTTTAAAATGCTGCATATAATGATAGGAGGACTCCTTTATTAGATTTAAACGAGAATTTGACTTTTAATAGGACACAATGGAGAAAAAGGATTCATGTAGCCGACCCCACGTAGTGGGATAAAGGCTTGATGTTGTTGTTGTTGTTGTTGTTGTTAAAATGCTTTCTCATAAATTTTTTTATCTGTGAACCTTTATCTGTTATGTTGCTAAGACCTATTTTGTGGCAATGCTACCTGGAGCTGGTTCTACCTTCTTTTAATAGTTGAATTTGGTTTGGTTTATTTTTGTTTATGATAAGAAAAGTCATTATTGAAAATTATTGTTGCATTTAAACTTTTACTTCTGGGAAAATAACTTGAAGAACTCCAAAGTAAAAGAATTATAAAAGTATGCATTTCTAGTTCTTGCAATGAAGAAAGATTATTGTATTCCTGCACAAATAGCTTAGGAAATGGTCAAGAAATTTTGTGGGAAGTTGGATATCTTACCATTTAAAGAATATTTTATTCATATTGTTAAAATCCCAATCGTCCCTTGGCCCTTGATCCCACGACCAGCATGGAGATCCGTGGGAGGCTCACCATCACATTGTTAAATTTCAGTCATCCCTTGGCCCTTGATCCCATGGCCATAATGGAGATCCATGGGAGGCTCACCTGGATCAGGTCGATCTCCTTCTATATTTGGGTGGCTGATTTAGAAAGGATTATATTAGGGCAAATTTGAATGATTCCGTATTTATTTGTTTCTTTATTAAGATATATTGTATAGATCTATAAATTGGGATAGTTTTCTATAATAAAATTAAGCCTTTTCCTGCTCCAATTCTCTGAATTTAACACATATTTGTGAAGTTTTCTTTATTCAATTCAACTAAGAGAGCCTGCTTTATAATCCCAATATCATGTGTGTATCTAATGCCGCTCTGTAGCTACGCCGTGGTAGGTGTTTTTCTAATTCATGACTTGTTTGAACCACGGCGTTTTTCTAATTCATGACTTGTTTGATGGAGAAATATGGAGAGATTAAGGAGGATTACATATGATATTTATTGATTTAGTGGAAAGTATATGATAAAGTTCCTAGAGAAGTGTTTTGGAGAGTTCTTGAAAAGAAAGTAGTTAATTATGCTTATATTAAAGTTATTAAGGATATGCATTTAGGAGATATTACTTGTGTTCAAATGCAAAGTGGGTTGATCAAGTATTTTTCTATTTCAATTGGATTAAATCAAAGGATTAGTTTTAAGACTATATCTTTTTGTGTTAGTCATGGATGTTCTTAATATACATTTGCAAGAGGATGTACCTTGGTGTAATGCATTGGGCCTATTATGTGATAGAAAACTGCCCCTCAATTTAAGAGAAAATTTTATAAGATGATGGTGCAGAATGCTAGAAATTAAAAGAGAAGCATAAAATTAAGTGTTGCAGTGATGAGGATGCTCAGATAGTTAGGTGGATGCGTGGCTTTATACTTAGATATAGAATGTGAAAGAAGTGCATACGTGAAAGGGTCAAAGTATCTCTAGTGGTAACTAAGATTAGAGAGTACCTTAGATAGTTTTGTCACATAAAACATTGGCCTTCCGATGACACTGTTAGTAGAGTAGATGTATTAGATTCGGCATATGCTAAGAAATGTGGAGATAGACCTAAAAAAACTTGATTAGAAATTAGATATAATTGATAATTTGACTCTTAATAGGACACATAGAGAAAAATAATTCATGTAGCTGACTCCACGTAGTGAGATAAAGGCTTTTTGTTGTTGTCGTTGTTGTTCTTATAGTGGGTTGTTTTAGTTTTGTATCTTCTTTCCTACTGATTTTGTAATGGAGCAACAATTTTTCTTGAGCATGCAATATTTATTTAGCAATTTTTTTTTAAATGAGGTGTGCAAGTTATGCATGCTTTTATTTTTGTTTTGGTTGCTTTAGTGCTTGTTCGTTGATCACATGGCTATTCAAGATTTTTTTGAATTTAAAATTAGAAGTTGAATTGATATCTTTTAGGATTAAATTTAAATTAAGCTGGTATTGTGGCAACTTTATCTACAATTCTAGGATATGTGAAGTCTAAAAATAAATATTTTGAGGCATGTAACCATTGTAAGCTTTTTGAGTTCGAGGTATGTAATGGAATAACTATGGTTTCTTAATTTTTTTTTCTAGTTTTCAATTTTGTGAGTGGAAGTTGGATATTTGATTCCCATAAGTGGTATGAGTGTGATTAACTAATTATGGGGGAATTTATCTCTTTGTAGTTTGTACCAATGTGAGGTCTAGTTTTGTTGTTGTTGTTTTATTTTATCTTTTAATTGGACACAATGGAGTAAAATGATTCATGTAGCTGACCCCACATGGAGATAAATACTTGATGTTATTGTTGTTGTTGTTTTTATTTTATTTACATAATTTGATATTGGTTTGATTAGTGCTCCTAATTTTATTCAAATTTAGCACATCAAAAATTCATTTTGTTCGTTATTTTATTTGATCTTAATATGTGTTTTGACATTCTCATATTATTTAGTTATCATTTGAGTTCTAATTCTAGTATGAACTATTTAAATTTAAATAAATTATTGAATTAATTGATGATGTGTAAAATATGAATCCTCCTTTAAGTTCCTTCGCATGGATAAGTATTATTCATCTTATTAGTTTTATTAAGAAACCCTAATCTTAACTGTCCTACATCAAATTGATACCATAGGTCATAGTTGCATTATTATTTGAAATAAATGAGGATACATTCATCGGGTCAATAAAAATATTTAATTAATAATATAATTTAAACAAAATTATTTAAGTTATTGTTCTAGTTAACAACATCCTATCATTAGATTCAAAATTACATCCCTAAATTCGATAAGAGACATGGTTTTGAAACTTTTCAGTTGGGTCAATGATTTCTAAGATTATTATTATTATTATTGAAAAATACAATCTATATGATTCCCAGTGTCAAATGTGCCAAATTAAAATTAGTGGGACATGTTCAATTATTTTGATGAAGTGTTGTTATTAAGTCATCATGAGTTGATATGAAATAGACTTAGAACAATACTTTTTATTATAGGATCAACTATATGATTAATTAAGGATTGTAAAGAGATAAATATTAAGTGTTCAAGTATTATGCAAAGTTTATAGTTGTAACAAAACACGGTCGTTATGAGGTCCCAAGTTCTAAGTGAGAAAAGTGGAGGGTTGCGTTAGGCAGCCAACAAACAGTTTAAAACTTGTTGAATAATTATGACATGAGTCTTTTAATACATTATGTTAATGCTAGAGCATTCCCTAGAAGCAACGTGTTGTATAGCCTGAATATAGTGAGAAATGTGCAAGGGCCGCTGCACCGGCGCCCGGGTGTAGTATTGAATAGGCAAGGGTTCTCACATCATAGACCGATGTGGGCAAATAAGCTAGTCCATGAAACTAAAATTATGATATGATATTGTAATATATGTTTCCTTACAGACAAATTAATGAAATTAATAGATATTATGATTCATAGGAAGATAAATATTCCATGCATTCATGTAACTAAATGGGTTGAAGAGAATATTAAGGAGATTAATAGTTTAGGATTTAAATTATAGTATTATTATAAGAGTAGAACTAGAAATAGTGTAGGTGTAATTATAGATAAGAGTTTGAAGGATAATGTTGTAAAAAATAATAGAATTGAAGATAAAATTATAGCCGTAAATATTATTGTTGATGCTATGATTATTAATATTATAAGTGCTTATACTCTTTAATTAGGTTTGTATATGTGTTTAAAATTAAAATTTTAGAATGACTTAAAAAAATTAATTCAAAAGATTTCTCTTGAAGAAAAAAAAATTTATTGGCGGAGAATTAAATGATCATATTAGTAGAGAAGTAGATGATTTTAAGTGGCTGTTTGGTTGCATGAAAAAGAAATGTATTGTAAAGTAAATATAATGTAAATTAAATGTAATGCATCGCGAATACTTTGAGCATGTTTGGTTGTCTGCAAAAGAAATGCAGGAGATTTGTTTCTTTTGTTTGGTTAGGTATATCCAGAGTAAAGTAAAATTACTTTTTTAAATAATTTATTTTGGTATTAAAACAAGTTTATTTATAAAAGCAGTGTCTTTATAATAATTATTATTATTTGATTTTATAAAATAAAATCAATGTATTTATTTATTGCACGTAAATATTATATTTTTTTAAAAGATATAAAATTCTGCTATGTATTAATTTAACAGTGTGATGCAATAAACGAAAATATACATGTGATAGAGAAAATTTTTAATTTTCAATTTGTAAAAAAGTTTAAATTTTTATTTTTCAAGTAATTTTTTTTAAAAAAATTGTTGAAAAACTAAATTGTCAAACCGATTTCATTGATTAAATTCGCGATAAAATCAATTGTTTTCAATTATCAATC